CCTTTCATGGCTTATCAAGAAGTCTGTAACTATTTACTGAGATTTGCTGTACCGAGAATTTGTCCTTCCACTCTATCTCTCCCTTAGAGATTAAGAGGAACAAAGAATACATTCCTCTTGACAGACCTCCTATTCAGTGTTTTGTGTATAAAAGGGATTGCATGGTTAATAAACTTACTGCAGTTCCTCGATTGAGCTGCAGTCCTCCTGATCCTGCTCTCCTGTCTTTCTTTCTTTTCTCAATTCCCACCTCCCTACCTCAGCCCGGTTCAACCTGTCAGGCTGGCCCTGACAAACTTGCACCCTGAGACCAGGGACCTGAGGACTTGGGAAACAGATGGTGGGGAACTCCTCCGGATAAAGAGTGCACTCGTTAATGTAAGGGAGGAGCAATTTTTTGATAGTTGGGAGTAAAACATGGGACAGTTAGAATCTAGGGAAAATGCCCTTTATGGGCAAATGTTAAAGTCTATGCTCAATATGCTTTATAATGCGCAATCATTATAAAGCCCTTGAGCCAAGTAAGACCCCGGTTGATGCATTTTCCTTATGGAATTTGATACGGGATTGTTTAGATCCCAGGCATGACCATAATCAACCGTCTCTTAAGCCAGAAAAAAAGGAGAAAAAGTGTGATGGCACAAAACGAGGGTCTAAAAAAGACAGTATATTAAAAACGAATAATGTAAATTTTAAAGACAAATTAAATCCTCAAGATGAGGAGGATCTTGAGGAAGCTGCTGCCCTTTATCATGATGATGATACAGGTGTTGTTCAGGCAAAAGAGGAGGAAGAATATTTTTCTGCTGGAACTGAAGAGGGTAGTGATAAGGAGGATGTGTTAGAACACTTTTTAGAAGCATTAAAGCTTCTTGGCAAGAAAAAGAGAAGCCGCAGGGGCCATTCCCGCCGCTCTCCGCTGCTTTGTGCAGCACCAGTTCCACTTTGCCCTCTCCAGATGGCTTTGCAGGAGGCACGAAAGTGTGGTGAGGAATTGGGCATTCACGCCTTCCCCATTATGGAACAGGTGAACCCTAACACGGGATAGCGTGAGCATACTTATGACTGGCTTTCTTTTAAAACCCTGAAGGAGATAAAAACAGCCTGTGCTCAGTATGGGCCTACTTCCCTTAATACTTTAACCATCTTGGAAACTATGGCCTCAGAGGCTCTCCCACCTAATTATTGGAGAGCTATTGCTAAGGCTTGTTTATCAGGAGGGGATTATCTCTTGTGGAAATCAGAATATGATAAAAAGGCTAAGGAACAAGCTCCTCGTAATCGAGCTGCCAAGATTAATATTTCTTATGAAATGCTGGTAGGAGAAGGAGCCTATACTGATATCCATAATCAAATTCAATACCCCCAGGAAGCTTATGGGCAAATTAATGGAGCTGGGATCAGAGCCTGGAAAAAGTTACCCACCTCTGGTCAGAAAACAGAGGAGCTCTCAAAAATTATTCAAGGGCCAGATGAAAAGCATCAGGATTTTGTCTCTCAGCTATTACAGGCTATTGGCCGAGTAGTGGTGGATGGAGAGGCTGGCATGTTAATAGTTAAACAGCTGGCATATGAAAACGCCAACACTGCCTGTCAAGCTGCACTGCAGCCCTATCAAAGACAGGGGACTCTCTCAGATTATATCCGCATGTGCGCAGATATTGGTCCCTCATATATGCAAGGAGTTGCCATTGCGGCCGCATTAAAGGGAACCACCACTGAAGGAATTCTTCAGCAACAGTTTAGCACAGAGATAAGTCAAACACACAAGTGTTTCACTTGTGGAGGAACAGGACACATGGCAAAACAGTGTCCTTCTAATAAAGGGGTTAATAAAGGAAATGGCAGAGGTCCCAAACAACCTGGACTATGCCCTAAATGTAAAAGAGGAAAACATGGGGCAAATGAGTGTAGATCTAAGACAGATGTCCAGGGGAATTCTTTGCCTCAGCTGCAGTCAGGAAACTCCCGAAAGGGGACAGCCCAGCCCCAGCAAATAATAGGGGCATTGTCTGTTTACCCTCTTTTCCTTGTGCCATCTCAAGGCCAGCTGGCTGCACAGCACCCAGCCTGCCCCAGGGAGCAAAACGGATACAAGAGTTATTCCGAGCAACCCCCGGAAGTGCCGGATTGGACCTTGGATCCATAGGGCAATATGTATTAACTCCAGAATTGGGACCACAGGCCATCCCAGAGGAGTGTATGGACCTACTCCTAAAGGGATGTTTGGCCCTTTACTAGGTAGAAGCAGCTTAACTATGAAAGGATTGCAAACTTTTCCCAGGAGTAATTGATGCAGATTATGAGGGGGAAATTAAAATTATGGTCTCTGCCCCCAGAGATATCATCACTATCACCTCAGACATGAAAATTGCTCAATTGATTTTACTCCCTGTGCCTGCCATAGGCAATCTACTTTGCACAGAATCTCGGGGTGCCAGGGGTTTTGACTCCTCAGACAAGGCATATTGGGTACAAGCTATTTCTCATGCAAGGCCTGAGAGAACTTTACTTATACAAGGGAAAATATTTACAGGGGTTTTAGATACAGGAGCAGATATTTCTGTCATAAGCTTAGCTCACTGGCCTAAACAGTGGCCCTATAGAGAAGCTATGACACAACTTCAAGGAATAGGTCAGACCAACTCTCCTTTACAGAGTTCACAAATGTTAAAGTGGCAAGACAATGAAGGTCACTCTGGGTTATTTCAGCCATATGTCTTGCCAGGGATCCCTGTGAATTTATGGGGACGAGACATTCTGTCTGCCCTGGGTGTTGCCCTTGTTACCACCCCAGCGCAGGGAAATGATTAGGGGGTGGTCATTGTTTCTCCACATAGCTGACAAGGTATCTTAAAAGTCTGATGACCCTGTATGGGTATAGCAGTGGCCACTTTCCAAAGAAAAAATGCAAGCTGCTCATGAGTTGGTACAGGAACAACTCCAGCTAGGGCATATAGAAGAGACTACCAGTCCTTGGAATACTCCTATTTTTATCATAAAAAAAGGAAATCAGGAAATTGGCGCCTTTTACAGGATTTAAGGGCCATAAACAGGACTATGGAAATTATGGGACCTTTACAACCTGGTCTCCCTTTGTAGCAATCCCCAATGGGATGAAGCTATTAGTGCTAGATTTAAAGGATTGTTTTTTCACTATTCCTCTGGATCCCTCTGATTGCAAACGATTTGCATTCAGTGTCCCATCTACTAATTTTCAGGAACCCATGCGCTGCTATCATTGGAATGTATTGCCTCAGGGAATGGCTAATTGCCCTACCCTGTGTCAAAAGTTTGTTAGGCAATTTGCGGAGTTCCAGAGAAACATCTGCAGGCTTATATCATACACTTATGGATGACATCCTTTTAGCTCACTATACAGAATGTCAATTAGAACAAGTGTATGATGACTTACAACAGGCTCTTCTTAAATCTGGGTTAATTATTGCACCTGAAAAAGTTCAAAGACTTACCTATATCTTGGACATATCATAGAAGGAAGAAAAATTCGACCTCAAAAGATTCAACTCAGGATAGATAAACTAGAGACTTCAAATGATTTTCAAAAATTTGTAGGGGATGTCAACTGGATTAGGCCAACTTTAGGCATAACTACTAATGACCTTAAACCTTTATTCGATATTCTTCAGGGGGATAGCAACCCGCTCTCCCCTCATCAGCTTACTCCTGCAGCTCGCAAGGCTCTCTGCCACATAGAAGCTGCCTTAAAGAAACAATTTGTACAAAAAATTGATTACTCACAGCCATGGCTGTATTTAGTATTGGCTACGCCAGTATATCCTACTGCCCTCTTATGGCAACAGGGACCTTTGGAGTGGATTCATCTGCACTCCTCCCCAAAAAAGGTAGTTTATCCTTACTCAGAAGCAGTAGCAGATCTTATTTTTGCAGGACATCTCAGATCTCTGGAACTTCTTGGTCAAGAGCCCCATACCATCGTGGTACCCTATAAGGCTCAACAAGGCAATGGCTATTTCATATGGATGATAAATGGCCTCTTTCATTCCTGGGCTATCACGGTACAGTAGACTCTCATTACCCATCTAATAAACTCATACAATTTTTTACAGAACATTCCTTCATTTTCCCCAAGGTAGTCAAGACTCAACCAATTTCTCATGTAGTTCTGGTGTTTACTGATGGTTCTAGTAATGGCACAGCTGCCCTAGTTATCAATAATCAACCCTTTGTTTTACAGACTAACCACACTTCAGCACAACGCGTGGAGCTCGGCAAATTGTTAAACTCTGTCCTCAATGCCCTCTAACCACATTCATTCCTCCCACAGAAGGAGTCATTCCGCGAGGCTACAAACCAGGCCAACTATGGCAGATGGACGTAACCCATATTCCATCTTTCAGAAAACAAGCTTATGTCCATGTTTCTATTGGCACTTTTTCTGGTTTTATTTTTGCATCCCCTCGTACAGGAGAAGCCGCTAAACATGTTATTGCTCACTGTTTACAAGCTTTTTCTTTCCTAGGCATCCCCCATACCATTAAAACTGACAATGGTCCAGCCTACACAAGTACGGCATTCCAGAAGTTTTGTGCTACTTTTCGAATCCAGCATAAAACAGGCATCACATACAATCCTCAAGGGCAGGGAATAGTTGAGCAAGCTCATCAGACTTTAAAAAGGCAAATTGAAAAAATAACGAAGGGGGAGTATGTAGATACCCCTGCTAACTTACTTAACAGAGCTCTTTATTCCCTTAATTTTTTAAATGGTGATGCTCGGGGCAAAACCGCTGCGGAGCAATAGTGGTCCTCACTGTTCAGATCCCACCCTTAGGTATAGTGGAAAGACTTACTTACAGGACAATGGCATGGCCACGGCCCTGTTCTGATATGGGCTCGGGAGTCTGTTTGTGTATTTCCTGAAGGGGACTCTGAGCCCTGTTGGATCCCCAGCCGCTATGTCCGGCCCTTTTAAGGTCAAGATGGAGGATGAAGTGGAATAAGAACTCACTCCACCATTCAAGAGGCTACGAATCGGTCCACTAGTGCTTGTGCCACCACCGCCGCCACAGAGATCACGGACGACTCGGAGGACATCTCCACCAACTTGGGGACAGTTGAAGAAGCTGACAACGGAGGCCGAGGCCATGGTCATCCGCCAAGGAGCACAACGAACTGCTGAGACTTTGTTTCTAGCCTTGCTGAGTTTGATTGGATTTGTGTCACCCTTAAGATATATAATGGTACTATGTGGCATTAGGATCGAGTTTGCAACCACCTGTTAGGAGTTTGGAATCAGACTAACTTTACTTTAGATATCAGTAGATTACATGGAGAGATTCAAGCTATTAATGATGCAGGTTCTGCCCTGTTGCCTCCTAGCGAAGTAGCACAGAATATTTTTAATGAAATTCAAAGCCTTATGTCCTTTCATGGATTACAGTCTTTTATTTGGTCTCTATTAATTGTTGTTATCCTTGCTCTATTAATTGTTGTTATCCTTGCTCTCATTATTCTCTGTTTACTTCCAGTCTGCTTCCGAACCATCGGATCCAGCATCCGATCCCTGCAAGTAGGACTACTTGAACTTCGCCTAAAAAACAAGGAAGGGGGATCTTTTGGAGACCGGGTGTAAGCTGACATGGTCTTTGCACCTGAAGGGGCGAGCAAGGCTGGGACCCTTACCCACACAGTTTTCCCAGACTTTTTTGGATGGCGGTTATCAGTAGAATGAGAGCAACCTTTGTAGAATGAGAACAGCCTTTCATGGCTTATCAAGAAGTCTGTAACTATTTACTGAGATTTGCTGTACCGAGAATTTGTCCTTCCACTCTATCTCTCCCTTAGAGATTAAGAGGAACAAAGAATACATTCCTCTTGACAGACCTCCTATTCAGTGTTTTATGTATAAAAGGCATTGCGTGGTTAATAAACTTAGTGCAGTTCCTCGATTGAGCTGCAGTCCTCCCAATCCCGCTCTCCTGTCTTTCTTTCTTTTCTCAATTCCCACCTCCCTACCTCAGCCCGGTTCAACCTGACAGGCTGGCCCTGACAACATAGGAAAATAGTTTCTGTCAGCTCTGTTGCTCAGCCTTGGAGAAAAACTAATTTAAGACAGAGCAGGAAACTGTGTCTTTGCTCAACTCTCCACCTGCTTCTGTTCTGGGGTCTGTGCTGGTCCTGAGCACCCACTGGTGTCCAGGATGCCCCCTGTAGCCCATCCCTGTCCCTCCCTAAGGGAGGTTTGTGTTGGGTTCATAGTGATTTCCCCTCACTGTGTGTCTTGCACAGTAATACATGGCCATGTCCTCGGCTCTCAGGCTGTTCATTTGCAGGTACAGCATGTTCTTGGCATTGTCTCTGGAGATGGTGAATTGGCCCTTCTGAGTTGGCTTAGTATATGGTACTACCACTAAAACCACAAATGAATGAGACCCACTCTAGGCTCTTTCCTGGAGGTTGGTGGACCCAGTGTATCCCATTGTTACTGAAGGTGAATCCAGAGGCTGCACAGGAGAGTCTCAGAGATCCCCCAGGCTGCACCAAACCTCCCCGGACTCCACCGGCTGCACCTCACACTGGACACCTGCAAACACAGAGATGTCCTCATCAGGAAACTCTCACATGTCCACTGTTTCTTTCACTGATATCCACTCCAATATTCAGTATCTCTAGTTCTTCAAAAATTACCTCATAAAAGAGTCACAAGAAAAACCCAGATGAGCCTAAACCCCATGGTGAGTGGTCTGTGTTCAGTCCTGATCAGGGAATGGGAACACCTGGGAATCCTGGGGCTGGGCTCCTGTCTCAGAGCTGCAGGGTCAGGGCTGGGCTCATTTTTAGGACCAAATGGGGCCCCATTTGCATGTCCGCCTACTATATAGGGAGCTCTGGGGTTAGATGCTGATACAAATGACACTTTCCCAGAGTGTGACATGTCCAAGGGCGTGTTTATGGTTAAACTAGAGGCCAGGTACATGAATTCATAAATGGGTGGGGTCCAGCGGGCTCACCCTGATGGGGTCCCATCAGACGGGGCCGGCCATGGGGTCTATTCCTGGAAGCTACAGCTTTCCCCAAGCTGGATCTAATTATACTTTAAGGATGGCCAAAAGAAAACCCACAACAGAACTGTCTTGCATTACATGTGCCATGAGATGAAGTTGTTTATGGATTGTTTGCAAACGTATATCAAGATGGATGATAGCCCTTTAATGATTTTTGTATTCTTATCAGGCCTCTGCCCTCAGTTTCCCAATATGATCTTCATGTCTGTTTGTTTAAAAGTTTTTTCTGTTTTTATGCATACCCTTCACTGTTACTCCTAGAAACCTGCTGGTCCTCTTCGCCACCACTTTTAAAGAGAGGTTAAAATCTCACCTAATCTGCAAGGTGCAGCAATTTCACAAAATCCCCACCCAAACTCTCTACATTGCTCAGCAAAGGGTCGCTATCCTGTTAATGCTTAGGTCACCTTTTTGGCTAACTTGGAAGGTCTCCTGAGGCTGTGGGCCATGGAGGGAGAAATCCACACCTTGGCTGCAGGATTAGCAGAGCCCTCTGGAGACTCTGGTCGCGGACAGAAGGGACTGATAATTATTATCTTGTGCTTTCACTAAATGTACACTCTCCAGGGAGCCAAGTAGTGATTTAGGGGGTTGGAGGCCAATCAGGGGAGGGGATGAGGTCCTTCAGGTCATTCTGTTGTTTGGTCACTGGGCTTTTATTATATAGGATACTTCCCCACATCTGGGCCTGTGCATTTCCCTCTGAATCCAACTGCTCCAGGTCACCTGTACAAAAAACAGAAGGACTGAAAATCTTGGATTCCTATGACAATCACCAGTAATGACAACCAAGAGAAATTAGCCTTCAAATCTGATAACCAAATGTTCAGGAGATTTATGTTCAGGAGATGGGAAGTTCCATCTGACAGCATTTCCCCTACAAAGTGATCAGAGGGTAAACTCAGGACATAGTGTCAGCCTGGAGCCATGGACCAAGTGCTCAGGGAGAGACTAGCATCTGTGTGGGTCCCTGGGAGCCAGAAGTATCAGCTATAGAAACACAGACAGAGCTCCCGGGTCCTATTCCTTCAGGGGAGTTTGGTGCTGGATGTGTAGCAGCTGCAGTGCCTCCTTTTTGTTGTTTATTCTCTAGACTCTGTTGTAGATCCAGTTTCATACATTGGGATATAGAAGAATCTCCATCATGATCAGGTATGTTTATGGGAAGATGTGGGCAATGATTTAGGAATAATTAAGTTTAGGTCAGGATAATGTTATTGGAAACCTCGATGTCTGCATGTGACCCTTGGGACCCCTGTCCCCATGTTTGGGCTCAGCTTCAGGTTTCCTGTCTGTGATCTGTCCTGGGGTGTCCACAAATGAATGGACCTGTGAGTGGGGTGATGGTGGATGAAGAGGGGCAGGGGGTTTTTTACAGGGTCTCCTCTGCCCTTGACACTTTGGGAGGAGCTGGGGAGAGTCAGCAGGGCTCTGGCCAGGGAGCTCTGGGTCTTGGACAAATCTAGGTAGGATGTGGACAGTGGAAGGCAGCTTGGGAGTTTTCCCTTCTATTGAATTTTTGGGAATATTTTGAGAGGAATAAGGGTTCAGTCTCTTTTGAATGTCTGGTGAGATTCACCTGTGAAGTAATCTGGTCCAGGACTTTTGTTTGCTGGGAGGTTTTTCATTCCTGCTTCAATTTCATTCAGTTGATTTGGTCTATTTAGATCTTCTGACTCTTCCTCATTCAGTTTTGAAAGCATATATGTTTATAGGAATTTATCCATTTTTCCCAGGTTGTCCATTATATTGGTATATAGTTGTTCATTGTAGTTTATTACAATCCTTTGTTTTTCTCTGCTGTTAGTTGCTACTTCTCTTTTATTTTATTTATTTGTGTCATCTCTCTTTATTTCTTGATAAGTCTATTTAAAAGTTCATCGATCTAGTCTATCTTTTCAAATAACCAGCTCTTAGTTTCATAGATTTCTTTAGACTGTATTTTGTTTATTTCTGCCACGGTCTTTATTATTTCCTTTCTAGTACTCACTCCAGGTTTTGTATTTTTATCCCAGTTCCTTTAAGTGTAGAGTTAGATTGCTTATCTTTTTTCCTGTTTCCTGAGGTAGGCTTGTGATGGTTCAGATTCCCCTCTTATAACTGCTTTTCCTGTGTCCCATAGAATGGGGTTGCTGTGCTCTCATTTTCATTTGTCTTAAGGTCATTTTGATTTCTTCCTTGATCTCTCTGTTAACCCATTCATTGTTCAGTAACATGTTCCTTCACCTCAATGTCTTGTGTGTTTCTTTGGCTTATGGGAGAGTCCCCAATCTAGTGCCATCAGAAATAGTCATGGCTTTGAGTGGAGAAAAGACAAGAAATAAAAGCAGTGATGCAGGTGTACAATTCAGAATCATTCATATGTTGAAATGATGATGGAAGGAAATTGACCTGTTTTCTCAGTCTAGTGTTATCATTGATGTTGGGGTTCAGAGTTTGGGAAATTGGAGAAGTCCTAGCATACATTTTCTCACAGGAACCAAAACTTCAACCCTGGCAGGAATCCCTTATTCCCAGCCTCCCTCTGCCCTGTCCCTGGGGATGCTCACTGTGACCAGAAGGTGCAGGGCTCTCCGCATAACATAAAACAGCCTTAATGTGTAATGCACATGTTCTCCCTTTAGGCACATGATTTAGAAATATATTATCTTGCTAAGCTTGTCATTTAATTCCCTTGATGGAATATTCAGTGGGACAAATGTTTTAATTTTAAAAATATGTATTTTTTATTGTTGATGGTATTACAGATATCTCCTTTATTGCCTCCTCCAACCCCAAGCTTAGTTGTCCTCTAAGATTTTTTTGTTTCATGCTTACATTTAAATATTTTATCCATCTTGAGATTATTCTTCTGTATGATTTAAGTTGGTGTCCTCTTTTGCATGTGTCTGCCCAGTTTTCCCAGCACCATTTGTTGAAAAGATTGTCTTTACTCCATTGTATGTTCTTGCCTCCTTTGTCAAATATTAATTGACCATAACATTGTTTGTCAATTTTTGGGGCTTCTGTTCCAGTCCATTGGCTATATGACTGTTCTTTTGCCAGTACCAGGCTGCTTT